TGTTTGGAGTTCTAAAATCTATTTTTTAAAGAAAAAAAAATCCCGCTGGATTTAATTTCTATGAACGTTTTCTTTTCTTTTCTTTCTTTCTTTTTATAAAAGAAAGATCTGAACCCAAAGCATCAAGCACGAAGAAAATGAATAGTTAGTTTAACTCCGCACATTGAATCAAGTTTCCATAGCTATACACTAGACAAGATTACCTAGTTTGCTTGTACATGGCACAAGTCATGTGTTCGATGCCAGGCACGCAACGTGCGGTTTTAAGCAAGAAAACTGACATGGATCATCGAATGGTCTCTTGCCCAACTCTCTGACAAGACGTGAAATTCCTCTGAGACACGTATTTCAAATGGCAAGATTTTCTTTCCAATAATGGTGTCGCAGATAAGCAAATAATGCTTGTCTAGCCGACAACATTGTATTGTACAACACCGAAGTCCTCAAGAAAGAGATCGGCCATCGTTAGATCATACGTGGACAAATTACAGCCAAATTAAAAATGTATTTTTCTGGTGGATGAACCGTGCACATAGCAATGGAACCCACCAATTAATGTTAACTACTCTAAGAAATTCTAGCCATCCAAGCAACCTATATATTGGGTATTTTTTAAAAAGAATAGCACAATAAATGTGAAAATTTAACGGAATATCACTGTTTTAAAAAATAATAAAATAATATACTTGTATATTATCAAGAGCGATAAAGTAAATATTACACTTGAAAGGCACAATATTTAACAAATAAGAAGGTCGATATCAATATGATAAAATTATAATTAATTTTATCGTTCGCAGTCATAATATTTAGATAAATATCACAGTTTCTAATATTATTAAAATATTTTATTTATGAGCCATAATATTTTTAAATTGTGTTATTTTTAAAAATAAATTTCATTATATATTACTTCATTATTTATTTTGTTTTTTCTATGATGTTAGTGACTTCATATACTCGTTCCAAAATCGAGGGCCAAGTATAGTATCTTAAACCAGTTTTTGGGTGTTAATATGAAGTATTTTTTTTTAATTTTGTTGTTGTTATTGTTATTATTATGACTATTATTTATTTATTTATTTATTATTATTACCACCTTAAACTAAGATTTGATAGATCTTGTCTCTTCTACCGAATCAAGCGTTTCGAGAATAAAGTTCCCTTTCACGGGGCTCCACAACTAGCTAGCAGAATCCAATGAAGAAAACCCTTTCGAAGCGGTAAGGATCAGGTATTTTGTGCATGATGACTGCCGAACTGAGTTAGCGTTGCTGCAACTTGAATCTCCGGATCAAGTGAAGATATTTCTTGTTCAGGTGATCATATCTTCTAGCACGCGAGGAATTGCCACAGTACCTCTTTCAAATTCCCAGTGCTCGCAAGACAAGGTATCCTTCTACAATTCTACTACAAAGCACTGTATCGTGTCTCTTCCAACAGTATCCTTAATCTATTAGGTTATTCATGACAGTTTTCGGACCCAGAAATATATATTATAATTGTTTATAGATATATTTAAAAATATTACAGAACTCCAGGGATCAATATAAACTTTGAGTGCTAGCGTTGTCTTTATAATTAATTTTAATTTTCAATAGTTTGTAACTAGTAATGTATTTTATTTTCTATAATTTTTTTATTTTATAATCATGAGTATTAGATAAATTTATGTATATCTTAATTAATTCTCCGAGATTCTAAAATTAACAACCAGTTAAATTATTTTTAGAAAACAAACTCAAAACCTGACTAACTAAATTATATTTATCATAATTTTATTTTTTTCATAATACACGTTGTCCATATGTTTTTTCGTTTAAACCTTAGTATCTTCTTAGTCGTATAATTTGTATCCAGGATATTAGTTCGTGAATATAAATATAAAAAAATTATATATCCTTGTGTTTAAGATTTAACTCTGTACACAATTATCTATATCTTTTTTAGATAAAAAGACATTGAAAATAAATAGTAATATATGAAAAACATGTATATATTTAGCTATCCAAATCATTTACATCCATTTTTTGTTTTAAATATATAAATCATATTTAGAAACGTGTTTAAAATAAGTATATATTGCATGTTAATAGGTGATTTATTGTTGTTGTTGAATTAAAAAAAATGTGGATATTAGTATTATATTTTAAAAATATTTTTGAAAAAATTTAAATTTTTTATTTTTTAATTTATTTTAAATTAATATGTTTTTGATATATTGATACTAAAAATAATTTTTTAAAAATAAAAAAAATTATTTTAATATATTTTGAAGGCTCAAAAACTTTTGAGCCACTTCTATAATATATACTTATAAA